AACTGGAGAAGAACGAACTCTACTTCCCTGCCTGGATCCTGGTTAGCTGCGTCAAAGGCTGGCAGGAATGGAGGCGCCGAGGCCATTCCAGTGATTCGAACAGCTTTCTGTGCAAGAAATGCAATCTTAGGCATGGCTGGAACAGGCCCACGGATTTTAAACTCAGGCCTGAGACATGCTGAGCTGGCGGCAGCAGTGGCAGCAGTAATTTTTCAGAAACGGAGGAAGAAAAAACAGCAACAACAACAAAAAACCCCGTGGGCTTGAGAACTTCCATCGTTTTTCCCTTTCCCCCCAAAATGGTTTTACCCTCCAAGGCCAAGTTCTGATATTCAAGAATGCTTCAGATGGGATAAAACTGCTGGAGGGGGATAAGAGGGGGCAGTCTGTCACACTGTCCTGTTTTCACGTCAAATTCATCTGATATTTTCAGGTCTGGGCTGACACTGAAAGGGATTTGAAAAAGTCATTGCTTTGGGAGCATGTTAAAAATAAATTAATAATAATAATAATAATAATGAAAAAACCCACAAGTGATCATCAACAGTATTCCCCTGCCCCCACCTCTCTCTCTGCCTTTGCCGGCCCAGGTCTGAAATGCAGAAACCATCAAAATTATGGGATGGGCTTTCAGTGTTTCTTCTCCAGCAGAGGTTATCAGCATTCCTTGGCACAACTGTCAAAAGAGTTCTGTTGTACAACCTGGGAGGCTACTGGGACTGTGATATTACAGATGCAACAATCTTAGATGGACACATGCACGCGCACACACAGAGAGAGAAACTTTAAACAATACAGAGGATTCAGATAAGAATCTGACTCGGGCAAATTCTGCTAAAAGCCATGAGTCAATAGGAAGAGATGACAGATCCTGGACTGCACATTCTTTCTAGCCTCACTGCCCACCTGCCTTAATCAGAAGAATCCATAAACCATGGGGGCTTTGTGATCTACACATTCTTTAGCCAGAGGATGATGGACAGAGGAAGTGGCCTCATGGAGCACAATCTTTGGGCTGACTGCATTCAGTCGCGATGGAAGCAGGAAGGGACTTTAAACATGGCATGTGCAGATGGAACAGAGACTGTTTTGGAGTTGAATGTTTTCAATGGGAAAGATGGCTGCTTTCTGAGCGAAGGGCCAAGCACGGCAAAGGAGGTGCCTCCCACGCTGGTCACAGATAAGCCCCACCAGCAGAGCTTATCTTGGCCACCAGGGCTAAGAACGGCCATTTTGTGCTCCTGTTGGCAGGGCAGGAGATAATATGGGCTGTACTGCAATCTGGGCCTGTTGGCTGCCAGCGGGTGTGAAAGAGGCATCTGTGCTTTGGCATGTCCAGTACATGTTATACAAAGGCCAAAGACCAATGTAACACTTATCTACGGATTCTCTTCAAGAACTTTTCTTTCTTGGTTAATGGAAATGTGGAATCCTCACAACTCATTGGTAATATGGCAGGATGGGGAAGGGGAGGTAAGAGAAATGGAGACATGGGTAACTTTGCAAGATATCTGGCCTGCTGTTGGGTAGATCTGGGCTGTCAAACTATCATTTTCTGTAATTTGCCCCACAGCTACGTAGCAACCAGAAAAGTTCCCACAGAATCTGTTCAGGAACATTTCATTCTTCAAGGGGCTCCATTTGTCTACTTGGATGGAATGAGGTCTGTTGGCTAGAGAGGATGAAGAATGGTTTCCCTAAAGATCTGCTTAAAATAGAAATGGAGGGATCCAGCCCCCCATTATTGGCCATGTTGGCCTTCTTAGCAAGCTTTGGGAGATGATAGGTTCCTTAGCCTTGCCTAAGAGACCACTGGCAGTAGTTCTTTACTTTCTAAAATTGGTACAAAACAACAATACAATAAAAAACACGGGAAGCATCCAAACCAGCAGGAGCACAAAGCTTTCACTGAATCCTTTGAAAGATCATAAAGATGAGCTAATATTGAAGACTATCGGAACTTCTCTTTGGAGTTGACCAAGAAGAGCTCAGCTTGCTAATGAAGCGTTCCCTTTTCAAAGCAGCAATGTTAGATACCTAAAACGTCCACTTCTGCAAAGGTGAACACATATACTGAGCACAGAATTTTTATTTCATCTTGATTAAATTGACAAGGGGCTGGAGAGCAACTTCAGATTGTTCCCCCCCCCCCATTCTTTCCCCCCAGTCTGGTGCCCTCCAGGTATTTGGGCTTGTAATTCCCAGAATTTTGGACATAGTTGCAATCCCAACACACTGAGAAGGTACCAGGCTGGAGAAAGCAGACCACTAAGTCAAAGGGGGCTTCTTTTGAACAGATGCGTCCTTCCTGGAACTGTCTCTGCACATGAAACTGCGAATGGAACATCCCTGAAGCCTTTGTATTACAACTAGAAAATACATGCATTTTTCACAAATGCTAAAAGAAACAGGAGCCGCCACCCTCCAAACCAAGATCCATCCAGCAAAGATGGATGACTCAATGGACTGACATCCTGCTCTTCAAAGACAATTCTCCAGAGCCATTTCTCCATGGGTGCTTTTCTCTGCGTGCATTTGTCCAGAAAGTAGTGCCATGGAAGAAAGAGGAGATGGCTCTAACCAGTTACCTTTGGATCAACAAGGAAAGCCATAAGGATTCAGTACCTTCGCAGCAATCACATTCTAAGAGGGTCTGCAAACACATCCAAGCTGAAGGTTCTGCCTTCCCTTCGAAACTTACGCAGGCTATGAACCTGAGTAAAAAAGCTGGGGGGATAAATCCCGTAGCTCAGAAGACAAGAAGCTCTTTCCAGCACTCCATTCATTGCTGCCAGAGTTACAAAACTACCAGCCACGCATGCTCTGGACTCATACAAGTGCCAAATTCCCATCCACAAGCTACAAAACATCAGAACTGTACGCCAGGCTTGACCGCAAGGGGAACCGGGGCGGGGGAACCTGTCTCCAAGGGCGAGCAGTCCTTGGATGCCTGGGTGATCTTGAAAACCCTGAATTCATGAACCAGCCTGGCCCATCTTGAGTGCTCTTCAGATACACCAGAGTTACAACTGCCAGACATGGTGCTTCTGCTGCTGCTGCTGCTGCTGCTGGCCGTGTTGGCGAGGAATTCTGGAAGCCCCACCCATCCAGAAGGCACAGTGCTGTAGAGGAGGGGTGTAAGACCTTCTTGGGGGAAGGAGGAAAAAAAAGCCAGAAAAAAAGCAAGCCCAAGCAAATTAACTTGCCATCAGCGCTGCCTTCTAGCCCACGCCCGAGGCAGTTTGTGCCAAGCGCTTCCCTGACCTACAGAAAACATCAGACCTCCATTCCTTCAAGCCAGGGGGAAGCTTTGTTCCTCTTTTTTTTCTCTTTTGGTGTGTCTTTGGTGCTACAATATATAAAATTCAAACTAAAAAGCAGTCAACGAGACATATAAAAAGAAGCCTTAACATACGCAAATCCTTCCAGAAGAGGTGGAAAACAAAACAAACAGGGGGGAAAAAAAACCCCACCCAACCCAACAACACAGCAATAAGTACATATTTTTGAGGTATTTCATCTGCTCGGGAGAAGCTGTTGCAGTTCTGTAGGATGACTGAGATTTGCCAGGGTGGGAGGGATGGCTCCCTTAGGAAGGCGAGGAGCTGCTGATCTGGACAGAGATCAGCTGTATTAAAAACCAACCGACCAAGCCAACCAACCAACTAAAGAAACCCAAGATAATCTTGGCTGGATTCGAGGGAGGTGCAAGAAATGATTACGCTGGGGGAAGGCAAGCCAAAAACAGCGCCTGGTTTTCAGCCCATTGTGGTTTCAGGAGAACGTTACTGCGAGGCAGTCTCCAGAGCCGCTCGAGGAAACCGCTGGTTCTCTTTTCATTTGGGAGGAAACGGACGGGGTCCCCGACAGGATTCTGCAAGGGAATGCCTCAAGGGTATCCACATCTTTTGCTAAAAGCGAGCTTACCTAAACTGCATTTCTGCCTTTGCTGCTATTCTTGGATGGGCAGGGTTTTACTTCAAATCCATGCCTCCCCTCCCCTCTGAAACGGAAAGGATGGAGCAAAGAAACATAGCACCTTCAGAAGAGCCTCTGGCAGGTATGCCAGGCCATCTACTGCAGCTAAGGGCTGGGACAGGGACAGAAACAGCTGGCCCAAGAAACTCTGCTGCGGGCACCTTGCTAAAAAAAAAAAAAAAGGCTATTTATTATTTAATT